AAACCCAAAATCTCTGTAAATGTTCATTAAAACTAATAAAATTTAATTTAAAAAAACCAAACAAAATAAATAAATAAAAATAAAAATTTACAAACTTTTCTGGAAAGAAATTGGACAATCTGTTCCAAAGTAAAAGAAAATTGTGTTATGTCTGGGGTGTCAGTGGGTGCCTTTGAGAGGATTCTGGCTTGTTATAACCTCTGGTGTTAGAGTGGAGACCTTCCCCACCAGGCTAGTCTTAGCTGTCATCTTTAGACAATCAGGTTTCCAGGTCTTTTCACTCACAGGGTTGCTGGGTTCAAACTACCAACCTTTAGGTTAGCACTGAGCACAATTTGTTTGTTTTTTTTTGTTTTGTTTTTTTGCTTAAAAGTCATATGGATTTTATTAGTCAACTACAGTAACAATACAGTCATCATAGATTTCTCCTTCTGTATTCATGCCTCCAAACACGAAACAGAGTATGTCAGTCTGACTTTAATTTGTGCCACCTAAGACCGTTGTCTATGTCATCGGTCCTAGCATTTTATTTCAAGGCAATGGTCAGGTGTGCGCACAGGTTTCTGTACCAGTAAAAAGCTTCAAACAGCACATGTGCCTGGCAGTAGGAGCCTGGATAAACTACGGACTATCTGTATCATAGATTGAAGGCAAAGTTATTCTTGGAAAGAAAACTTAATAGGAACAAATAGCCTTGATAATCTGCCATGAAATAAATAAATATATACAAGCACATAGTGGAGATAAGGAAGACTGTGGGGTGAGGAAGACTGGGGGGGGGAACAAGCCAGGGGAGGGGGCAAGACTGTGAGGATATTTAAAGTATTCATGGTGGTTATACCTGTTACAAAAAAATAAAAACTACTGCCCTTGAGTTGACTCTGACCCCTGGTAACTGTGCCTTAGATTCTGAGAGACTATAAATCTTAATGTGAGGACTCATCTTTCTCCTGTGGAAACTCCCAGAACTGTCACCTTCCAATTAGCAACCCAACACTAACTGCACTGTGTCACCAGGGCTCCAATCTAGGTTACGCTGTTTTTGGAAGGAAGGTGCTGTCAAGTCAACCATGACTCACAGCGACCATACCAACACCAGATCTCAACAGATGCCTTCACCATCCTCATCAATCCTGATACACTCAGCCCATTGTTACAGTCACTGCCGACCCACCCTGTTGAGGGTCTTCCTCTCTATCTCTGACCCTCCACCTTTCCCAGCATCAGGGCTTCTTTCAAGGACTGTCCCCTCCTAACAATGGGCCCGAAGGCCTCGAGAGTAAGTTTGACCATCCTAACTCCTAACAAGCACCCTGGCTGCATTTCCTCCATGACAGGCTTGTTATCTTTGTTACAGGTGCCCCAAATCGCTTGTTAGCCAGTCTACCTTTTCCAGGTGTGTTGGGTTTGTAATTATAAAGAGAACATAAGCTGGTAGCTTTAAAATAGCAGGAAAAACCAGGACCAGTCCTCTGCGGAGGGTAATTCTTTCCTAAGGGCAAGGCCCCCTTACAAAGTATTAGATCAGAATCTTTTATTAGGGACCCCAAGCAGATCATAAGATTATTTAAGGGCCTTTTTATTATTGTTACGTGCCATTAAGTCGACTACAACTCGTAACAGCCCTTTAAACAACAGACCTGAACCCTGGGCTAGCCTGCACCATCTTTATCATCTCTGACTAGCCCACTGGGATAGTCTAGAGTTTAGCCTGGCTAAACTTCCCTAATCTCACCATTTTCCCTCCCTTTCCAAGGCTGTACAACCCTTTCGGAAGGAAGCGGCCTCACTGGTCTTCCAGACAGCCGCTGGTGAGTTCCAACAGCCTACCTTTCTGCCTCACTGTCCAGCTACCAGGGTTCCTCCTCAGCACACAAGGAACGAAACCACCCAGCTTGGTAGCCCGCAGGAAATAACTAAATCCAAACAGTGGATGGGCCACGCCAGTTTGTGGGTTCTGCGCAGCGTACCCCCTTTTCACTGGGAAACACTTACTGCCTAAGTTAGTGAGTGGAAG